CTGGAGCGTTCATCAAAAGTGCGTAACCCTACAGGAACAGTGATAACCTTTGGCTTGTTGCAATCAACCGCCGATCTCGTTGAAGCGACCACGGCTCTATTCCGAACACTACATGATCGTTGTCGGACCAGACTTTGTTCTTTGCAATCGAACCTTTACCGTGTGTATTTCTCCGTAAACGCACATACAAAATGTAGGCCCAATCCTTCTCGGAGAAAAGGGAATGTTCTCGGCGCCGTGAAGCTCAACTTTTGACTCCACCAGCTGCAAAGGAACCAGGTTTTCATGAGCATCATCTTCTTCGCATTAGGTTAACGATTGTCGTAATAACTGTCTTTCTGCCCAAATCATTCATGCACATACAGGATTTCGAGTGCTCTCATAGTCAGTGCCTACCAGGGATTGTACTCCTAAGCACACTTGTGGACGAATTGTACCTCAAGCCAGTTCAGTGGGACAAATCACTGAATAAGAGAATGAAGACAAATAAGCGATTTCAGTAACTGGCAAAAGTAAACGACGATGAGGGAAGCAAACCCCACCTTAGATGTGACGTGAACAACGTAACCTTTGAAGTCTGCCAACTACTTTCTTGGAACCATGCATCGTGAGTACTATTCCAGTTGAGTGCGCTCTCTCCGAAAGACCTCTGCAACTCCGCTAGATACAGCAGCCAACGACAGGAGAAGCGATTTTACGAGAGCACTCCGAATTTCGTTAGAGATTGATTTCAGAGAACAAAAAAAAATTGCTCCTTTTCAAACGATAATCAGCAGTTTGGGTGCATCACGCAATGGACATTCCGTCCTCCATATGAGAATACCTTACGTGCACATTTAAGCAAATGTCCCTGGATACAAAGAGAAAATTGGAATGACAAGAATTGCGATGTATACAACATAGAACCAAGGTCGCTTCAAAGAGAACAGTCGTTGAACCGATCGTACCGGGTGGGAGATGTCTCCCATGCGCTGATGACCATGCCCTATTACCATCTCCAGCGCTTCTCCAGGGCCTTCTGACAGATTTTCAAGACCGAGTATATCCGAATGAGCGCTAACTTTCTGTAGTGTACCATCCAACCTAAAATCGGAGACAACCATCTTGGGGCCACCTCTCCACCGTAGATAGTCGAATGGCCGTGAAAATGCTTTCAGGCTGGGTGAGAAACGAGATTCGTTCAAACAATCAGTCAACCAGAGGCCTTACATGAGCATTGCGACAAGCTTATATTGATCAAATGGGCACTCGTGCGACATCCTGGCGAGTTTCTGGATTTCCGGCAATCCCCCGCACGGCTATTGCTGAAGGGCTGGAACTTATGGTTTCTTATTCAATATCTATGACAGAGCCATCAAGTGCTGACGCTAACTCGCCAACGCCGATGCCAGGCGATAATGTAGAAAAAAGATGTTCAGGAAATCTGATCCAGTTTTGGTTGACAATCCTCAAATGGAAAAGCCAGCAGTCGAAAAGTCCAAAAGGAAGTTTGTTATCAGTAGCATCAAAAATCAAACAGCGATTGAGCAACAAACAACTATGACTGATCTTGGTATGGAACGGTATAAGACTTTTGATTTTTGAAAAGCACCTACGTCGGGCACGTCTCGAACCGTTCAGGAACTTCTGACTCGCCTTGCTGAATCATTTACGCAATTTCCTCAATGCAAAACTCAAGTCTTTATTTTATTAAATGTCCACGATTGTGATCATTGATCATTGATTGTGAACGTCTAAAACTGACAATACAGACAGCGGCGGAACATTGAGCAGAGAAAAATTCTGTACAGAGCTAAGTTTCTTCCATGAGAATCTTCCACGATCAAACAATTTGTACAAACAATGAATTCTAGTATCGAAATGCGTCACTCCTCAACACTAGTGCGCGTAGATTCCGTCTGTATAACCGTCGTTGGACGAACATCACAGTGACGGATGCGATCTAAAAGCAACCACAGAGCATGGAGTGTAGACAAAAATCTTAAAAATCTAATGCGTGGCAACAGTACCTGCAGTATAACGGCAATGCACAGGAGTACCGTCTGACTGACAAGAAGTCGGTCGCACGGGTCCGTATTTGGAACCTCAGTTTGTGACAGCGTGGAAGCATCGAATCGTTCGGTGTCCTCCGAGGAAAGCACCAACACCTTGAATTTCTTACATGCAAACTCCTGAAGGCAGTAGGGGGAAGGGCGTTTACTGCTAACGTCATTGGTGGAGGGGCTGCGAGAGGGCGTCCGACCACACCCTTTTCAGTCTTTCCACCAATGACCTTGGCAGCAACCGCCCGTCCCCACCCAACGCGCGAACTGCCTTCAAATGGAACTACTTTGATGTGTAAAAAATAACCCGTTTAGACTCGACGTCCAGGGTGATATTGTCGGCATTTTCGCGGCTACTGCGTGGCCTTCTGTTGAACGCATAGAAGACACTCGCTGGTGATGGTAAAGGTAGCGTATCCATTGCTTCACCGAACGGCAGATCATATACAGATGATAAGGTCTTCGTACGATAGCCCATTTGTTTCGCTTCTTGTTTCTCTATGAACAATGATTTTCACGTAAGAGGGAGATTATCCACTATTACCGCAAGGTCACTTTTACCTTGTGGCACTTATTAGATGTTTCACGAAAAAAGAGAACTTACGGGCAGAGGAAGATACCTTACCTTCGACCCCCTTGCTGATCTCTATACCGAACTCTCTGCCGTTAGGGGGAGTTGCATATGTGGCTGTCTCATCAGAGGTATTCCTATGGGAAGGCGATGGCGGAATCGGCTGATGTACATCCATTTCCGGCTGGAACCAAAATATTAACAAAACTGCCCAAAGAAAATGGTAAACTCATCTACGAGGACGTTTCTTGCCGTGAGAAAAAGAATGCCTTGGTAGCTGTATGAATAAGAGACTCTCGTCACTTCACAAAATGAGGATGACGCGTAGGGGTAACTGGCCGTATTCCTACTCACCATCAGCATATCCTCAAAAAGCAGCACCTGCGGGTGTCTGTACCCTCCGTGCACTTTAGTAGAGGAGAAAACGGCACGCTACCGCAGTTGCAGACCCATTTACCTCGCCCATTGCAAAGAATGGGAAGAGTGGAGCTTCCAGAGATCAGGAACATAAGTCAGTCTTATCATGCATTCCCTGCGGGTGTTGCTCATAACACAGAAAATGCAGCAGTGTGCGAAAATTAGTGGCGTATTTCCTAGCTAGACGACGTTACGCGCCGTGGCTTTGCCATGTTGAGTCCTGGTGCGAAGAACCCCGCAACAGTTCCCTTTTCCTCAATGTGGCTCGTATGTGCTGAACTACACCCGATGGTGAACTATGGATTCATTTAGGGCCTCTATGGCATCCTACCAGCTTATGTCGGAAAAGATATATTAGCCTATATAACATTCGAATCAGCAAATTAATGCCTATTTCAGATACTGTAAGGTCGTCAAAGAAGGACATGGATCGATGAAGAAAAGCGCACCTCAGTATGCGACGGTGTTGTCGTCGGCTGTCTGAAAAATTTGAGCTTACATTTCAGAAATTGCAATCATCAGATTATTAACTTGTGCAAAAATGACCCATCAGTGCAGTGCGACTTGGTGGTGGCATTTCGCTGGTTTCTATCTACTATTGCCGACACCTCTTTTGAAGACCTGTGGACTCTTGTAAAGCTACGCAATAGCACGATACACTTGACAAGAATTCACAGGTCTCATCAAAAATAGACATGAATTCGACAGGAACTAGTGAAAGAAGCGAGCGATTCAGGGAAATGCCCCCCTCCCCCTAGGTCGAACAACCCGTGCCTCGTCTACTTGGTGGATACCATCCAGTAGAGCAGAACATTTATCTTTCGAATCCAAAACGAACCGGTTGGGGACGATGTTGCTCGCATCGACTCTATCTGTGACATCGTTTCCGTAGTGACTCGATTCCGATACTGTAGTTCTTGGAGAGACAGTAGTTGTACGCATGTTCTTATACACTGCTTGGATAGGTGGAAAATTTATCGGGTAACATATTGGTGGCTGAAAAAGGTATTCTAAATGAAAAGTATTAGAAAAATCATTTATGAGTTGGCTTAAGAAAATTCGCGTGTTACTCAGAGAACTGTGTTTAAGTTTTCATGCTTAACTTTCAGGAGCTGCACCTTCATGAGCCAGACTCATTGTGTGCACTGACAGACTAAGCTTGGACCTTATAACTCTTGCACGAACTCCATGAGCCCAGGGAGAGAGAAACGGTGCGTGCTGTAATTCACATGGCTGAGAGCAATAAAAAGACAATTCGCCCGTGAAGGGTAGACTCGAAAGTGTTCCCCACCCCCCCCCCCCCTGGAAAAAGGGGTATGTGGATGCCCTGGACATTTACATCGGACACTGCTATCAATCCATGTTCCTTCAGAATCCGTCAAAATGGCGCCCGCGGCAGCTTGGACTTCAACATAGCCTTCAGGTCGAGTCGTGAATAATCGATCTTGAACCATAACATCCGAGAGCTGTTTTTTTAACTGTGAATTTGGACACCAGGTCAGGTTGTCCCGATCACTGTAAGGCCTTATTGAGCTCAACGGCGGTAAAGAATGGCTTAACTTTGCCGTGACCATGGAGGCAAAGGTCGAGCGCTTGCTCCTGCTTATAGAAGAACATCTGGCAAATATTGTACACTGGGTACTTCTTACAACTTGCTACTCTCTGCCAAGCAAACTTTAGTGACGCAATTCGGTCAAGGGATCGAATCAGCTCTCGCTCCTCAACCAAGTCTTCACCCCTTTGGGGACGGTATGATGGTACCAGATCAGGTGGACAAATACAATCTCACTCGCACATCGGGTGGCTCAAGGCACCCTGTAGGCCACACTGCATTCAAAAGCCACTACGACCCGAATGGAGCTAGAATGCCTGCTGCATCTCACAAAGTGATTGATCAATGGAGGAAGCTTCTTATTTCTATTTTCCATGGCAATTCCAAGTGACGAAGAAATTCTAGGAGCTGTCACATTACATCAGTCAAATCCAT